CCTATGTTACAAAAACTTTTCCAGATCGCCGTCATCGCTTGCCTGGCTCTTGTGGCCGTAGCCGATCAGGTCCCCCACCCCCTCCTTTCCGCACCTTACCACCCCCTCCCGCCCCCTCCCACCCCCACCTCGGCCCTACCACAGCGAACCAGACTACCCTGATGTACGTATCTCCCTTCGCTATATGCATATTTTACCAGTAAAACTCCTGATGAAAGTGTAGTGTTACCTTCATGACTTTTGCATTATCCACTTTAAATGACGAAGAAATGGAAGCATAATTTTTCCCGACGCCACCCACACAGCTGCCCCGAAGTACACTAAAGTACGGCGTCACCTACTCGGCCAACTCGGCCACTCGGAGTCCGCGACGGCTACAACGAGGGGCAGCTACTCCGTCGACCTCCCCGACGGCCGCAAGCAGACCGTCAAGTACGTGGACAACGGCGACGGTCTCGTAGCTGAGGTCATCTACGAGGGCGAGGCTCAGTACCCCGAGCACACCCGCTTACAAGCCCGCTCCCCCCCCCCCCCCCTGCTCCCGAAGCGTAGAACTGCTTCCTGATAAATTCCTGAAGCTCAGAGCTGACATCGTGTTCATTGACTTATTCCTTCACGTTCCATCATCACCAAGCATATATTGTTTGTTTTCTAAGTTTCGTTTGTCAAATAAATGTTGTACTTGTGTTATTTTACTCTTTTTATTGCCTGGAATATATACCTTGCCAACCAAGCTATTATATCACTATGATTTTAAGGTTAATTTTCAAGATAATTCTTAAAAGCAATGTCCAATCTTACGAATGATATCATGCGTGAGGCACACAGTTCATGAAAAATACCTTCAGATACTTTAATCGTCAACACAAAACAACAGGAAAAAAAAAAAAATAATATATAGAAGAATATTGTACAGATATTGGCTCTACGATTATAAGTACTTTAAATTTCAAGATTATTATATTTTCCGCTATATTTCGTGACATGACTTGCCAATGACTGTAATCTAGGTCTATTGCTTGTTAGGAGAGGGGCCTTAAGAGTGGTTAGAAGGATATGTAATGTCCAGCCCTCAACTAAATGCAAATGAATAACCAGTATAGAAATAAATGTAATAAAAATCAACATAATGAGAATAAATGCAATAAAAATCAACATAATAAGAATAATTGTAATAAAAATATGTAATGTCCAGCCCTCAACTAAATGCAAATGGATAACCAGTATAAAAATAAATGTAATAAAAATCAACATAATAAGAATAAATGCAATAAAAATCAACATAATAAGAATAATTGTAATAAAAATATGTAATGTCCAGCCCTCAACTAAATGCAAATAGATAACTAATAAAAGTAATAAACAATCAAAATAAGAATAATAAATAAAAATCACATAATAAAATAAGTAAGATCAACATAGAAGGAATACAGGTAATAAAAATCAACATAGTAAAGATAAATGTAATAAAAATCAACATAGTAAAGATAATGTAATAAAAATCAACATAGAATGAATAATCGTAATAAAAATCAACATAGCGAGGATAAATGCAATAATAATCAACATCATAAGAATATATATAATCAAATAAATGTGAGACTATTCATTATCGTTCCTACTCATTCCTGAACGAAGACAGGAAAAAATTTAGGGGAAATGTCGCGAAAATCACAAAACAGATACACATAACCACAGGAAATATCGGGGGAAAAAAAGCTATCCAGGAGGTGTTGTTAAATGGATATCTCAGTTATACATTTTACATCATGTAGATAGTCATTCTTATTCATGTAGAAAAGGTATGAATGAGACTGGATATCTTCACAATACAAGAGATGTATTTGACCGGTTTCGATTACGTCTTCATCAGAAATACATGTATTTCTGATGAAGACGTAATCGAAACCGGTCAAATACCTCTCTTGTATTGTGAAGATATCCAGTCTCATTCATACCTTTTCTACATTTGTCAACATGGATACGTTTCATTCTTATTCATATCAAGGGAAACTGTCGGGTTGTAAACTAAGACGCAAACACACAGTAACCATCTGCAATAGCATGAGGCTTTGCAATAGCAGGCTTGTGGTTTGGAGCAGACTTCGGGGGAGGTTTCTCCGAGGGGAAGGGGGGGGGAGGTAGAAGCAGGTGTGCGTTGAAAGGCAAAATACTTCTTGTTGATGTAGAAAATTTAATTTGAAGATTAACAGCATGAAGATAAATTCTGTTGTGATGTATACACATATACACATACACACACACACAACACACACACACACACACACACACACACACACACACACACACACACACACATATATATATATATTATATATATATATATATATATATATATATATATATATATACATACATACACACATAATGTCAAGGAAATATCCATGGTGAATCCTTAGCATGCTATTCAATACATAAAAAGGAAATTCTTATAGGAATATTATATTATCGATAAATCAGGAGAATTTAACTGAAAGTTATGATACATGAACACATATTTTAAGAAATCTATTTCATGTATCTATGTTATC